TGGGTGACTATTTATTTAATGCAAAAGGTGCTGTTGCAACTTTCTCATCACCACCGCCACAATCACTTAACCACAATCACTCTATCATTATCAATTCACCACTATAACTTCACCACAACTGCTTCACCACCTCCACCACAATCACTTCACCAGAATCACTTCACCAGAATCACTCACCAATATCACCACAAACACTTCACCACCATCACCACAAACACTTCACCACCATCACCACAAACACTTCACCACCATCACCACAAACACTTCACCACCATCACCACAAACACTTCACCACCATCACCACAAACACTTCACCACCATCACCACAATCACTTCACCACCATCACCACAAACACTTCACCATAATCACTTCACCACCATAAGAACATAAGAAAATAAGGAGTCTGCAATAGGCCGGTTGACCTGTGCATGGCAGCTCCTGTCGAGAGTTACTACCACTCTCTATCATCCATGAATCGATCTTTAAAACTTTCCAGCGTTCCAACACTTACTACAAAGTTGCTAAGCTTGTTCCATTCGTCCACCACCCTGTTTGTGAACCAGTTCCTACCTATCTCCCTCCTAAACCTAAACTTATCCAATTTAAATCCGTTGCTACGAGTCCTATCCTGCTCGGATATTATAAGATTACGTTGGCGACTGATATCATGGTTCCTTTTTTTATCATATTCATTTCACTGCTTCTTTATTTTTAATTAAGTAAACTTGTTTCCAAGTTATCAAAATATTTTATTAAATTGATTTTTATTATCAAACTGATCAACATTTCTTGAGATACGTACATATTTGTATATGATACATTTTCCGCCTTATTAGGCCTTTGAAATTCCCGCCAATGACAGTGACACGACTCGGCGAGGAGAAGCGGTCAAGGGTGGTCGCAGCAGGTGAGGCGTCTTGTTACTATTGGATTTTGTATCCATTTTTATCAATTCCAGTATAAATATTGGGAATTAATTTACATGTTTTAAAACTATATGTGTCTAAATAGGATGTGAAGCTGGTATTTATATATAGATTATTATTTACGGATTTGTTATAATTACACAACGAGATAGAGACAAACAATTGAGACCCTGCAATTGTGTGTAAATGAGGCAGAAAGTTGGATCAGATCAGATCATTGGGTGACGGTTGACGAGGACGAAAATAAGTGGTATCTAAACTACTGATGTGAAATGAATTGTGGCTTAAATTTCTAGACTTTATTGAATTTTCTAAATTATATAAAAAAGAGTTCAATTAACACCGGTATTTCATGTTCTAGAAGGAAATTTACGCCCGTACAATCATTTTAGAGCCTCGGTATTGTATGGAGGAAAATCATATGAACTAGAGTTTATAACATCAGAGATAAGTCAAGGGTGGAGTGAAACACCAAAGCAAGGGCGGGAGCTGCGTTTTACTGCGAGACTTCGAGTTTTCCCGCGCTGAGTGATGCAATCTACGGGGTCCACACACCGCGCTCCGCCCACCGCGCTGGATCCCTACTTTCTCCCACTCACGTTGAATAATATTGACGCAGCGTATTATTTTTTGTAAGTTAAATGAATATATCAATATATATATATATATATATATATATATATATATATAATATATATATATATATATATATATATATATATATATATATATATATATATATATAACTTCAGCAATGGACTTGTTACAGGCGTGGTGGCTGTAAATAAATGGATGGTGCTCAGTTACCGAGTCCCCACCAAACAATAAGCATGGAATTTCAGAACAGTACAAGCAGGAACAAAGAATATACACGCCAGTTTAACATCAGTGTTTATCAGAAATGTGAATGGCTCTGTGGTTGTGACGAGGCAAATACTTTATTCTGCTTTCCATGCTTATTGTTTGGTGGGGACTCGGTGTGAGGCTTGCAGTCCCTCCATTTTATTTTTCACGAGCCGCACTTACGTGGAAAGCGTAGTTTTATAACGAAGCTTTGAAGGTCTCGTCGGTTTTGAATTGGATTGCTTTTTTTTTTATCGAAGGTAAATTTTCGTATAATATTGTTTTTATTGTATATCACCTGTATTTTTTTAACTTTTTCAAAACTTTTGTTCTTTGTTTTAGGCTCTGATGATGGAAAATGATTATTTCCAAAACGTTAGCGATTAAAAGAAGCCCAACTTGGTCAAGATGGTTATGTTTTCCCTGGTTCTCCTCTTTATATATATATATATATATATATATATATATATATATATATATATATATATATATATATATATATATATGTATGTATATGTATATATATTAGCGTTTGTGGTCAATTCTTGACGTTAGTGGTTAATTCTTACTTGACGCCAGAAACGGTTATCGTATTTTTTCCTTTCGTAAACTTATTTTCAAAATACTTTATTACATCAATTTTTAATATTCAACTGATCAAATTGTCTTGAAATATGTACAGTACATATTTGTAAATGAGAAATTTCCTGCTTATTTCGCTTCTTGCGTCTGGCTGACTCCCTCCCAGGTGGCGTCACTGGTCGCTCAGCGGTCTGTGGTGGGCGCTGCAGGTGACCTGCTTTCTCATGTGGATTTTTTTTTCCAATTTTTATCTATTCTAACAAATTTGGGGTATTAATGTACATGTTTTAAAGCTCGAGGCATCACAAAAATTGTAATCAAGTCTCAGGTTGCTGATATGACTTTCTGCCTCATTTACATAGGGTCTCAATTGTTTCTCGTACTACTAACACAACCTACAATATATATTGTAATATCGTTTCTCACTTCGTTGTTTTTTTTGTATTTCTGGTTATTTTTATTTTATAAATTTTAATTATTTGTATTATTTTTACTTTTATTTTTATGATAATTTTTATTAATAATTATGGTCAATTTATAGTCTTACACCGGTCTTTCTTTCGCCGTTATTAATATGTATTTCGTAATGTTTAGACAATTCTAAGATTTTTTCTTTTTTATTTCCACCGGGAATTAAGGATAGCCCAGATATTAATTTGTTTCAATATTACATTCATTACTGTATTATTATTATTATTATTATTATTATTATTATTATTATTATTATTATTATTATTATATTCCCCCACCCCGGGCACTGATGTGGGTCAGTGATGTGCCCGGGTGGGCTAATCTCCGGGAAAAAAAAATTGAGGTGTGAAGCTGGTAGTTATGAAAAAATGATAATTTGGTATTGTATTTCCGCATACGAGATTCAATTATGTAGAATGTTTAATTTGAAATTTCTAAGGCATGTCCGAAAAAAATGACTAACGGTCAATTATCATTCGGCATTTAATGTTCTTGAATGAAATTTTCGCCCGTACAATCATTGCGACTGACATGTTTGTTATAGGCGAAAATAACGTAACATTTTAGAGCCTTGGTTTTGTATGGGGCAAAATTTATACGCACTCTTAGAGTTAATTTTAGTGAATGTTCTGGGCTTCAGCTGATGTTCGTCTCAAGTGGAGCCATGGTTTTTGGCGCCATTTTCTCTACACTAGACAGTTGAGAGATTGGCGCCAAAATGTCACGCCGGGGTAAGGCATGCGTTTCAGTTTTCCTAATAACTTAAAAGATAAGTCAACGATGATAATGAAACCAGAGTAATGGCTGGTGTTGCTCTGTCCACCGAGATTCTTGCTCGACTAGCAAAATGCATTTAGTGTGCTTAATTCTTACTTAGCGCCAAAAGTTGTGGTTCCCGTATTTTTTTTTCTTTCGTAAACTTATTTTCAAAATACTTTATCAAATTGATATTTAATATGTAACCGAACAAATTGTCTTTAGATACGTACATATTTGTAGATGATAATTTTCCCGCCTTTTTCGCTTCTCGAGTCTGGCTGACTCCAGCCCAGTAGGCGGCACTGATCGTTCGGTGGATAAGGGTAGGCGCTGCAAGTGAACCGCTTTCTCACTTTTGTATTTTACCCCTTTTTATCAATTCCAGCATAAATCTTTGGAATTAATTGACACGTTTTATAACTAAGGTGAAGTAAATGGGGTGTGAAGCTGGTAGTTATATATAAAAAAAAAAGTGAATTTGATATGAGATAACTAATTAATTTACTGACTTATAGGAGTACTGTATTCATGTGGAAGGATTTGTAGCTTGAATTATCTTCGACCTTTTTATTAATTTAATTTTCTTTATGCTCGTACAAGCATTGACACTCGTACATATTCGCGATAGAAAAAAATAACGTACATTTAAGAGCCTCGGTACCGTATGGGAGAAAATCCATATAAACTAGCGTTCATTTTCGTAAACTGAAGAAATGTGAACCAGACAAGGACCTAGTGCCATGTGGTGATATTATACAGGTGCTGAAAATGTTCTGGACCTGTGGAGTTAGATCAAAAGATAACCAAACCTAATCTGTAATGGGGAGGGGGATCTCAGCATGCCTCAAGCTTTCATTAACGTTTCCATAGAACTGAACAGGTCCAGAACATTTTCAGCACGCCACGCCCCGGGTTAATTTATAAGTACGTCCGCCTCACATGAACATAGTTATGGATGCTAAGAAATTCCAAGTTTAAATTGTATTATCCACATTAAGATTGGTTTATTTATTTACAGGAATCGTGTATCTACATGGCCACAAGTATCGGAAGTACTCGCCCGGCTGCTGAACAGAAGCCATTAATTCCAAGGTGGGATCAGTGTAGTACTTAGCGTTTTTCAGTACGTGATTTTTTTACTGCTGCACCTTTGGGTCCTCTGGTGGTTGGGTCTGCTTTGGGTCCTCTGGTTGGGACTGCTTTAGGTCCTCTGGTGGTTGGGACTGCTGTATGTCCTATGCTGGTTGGGACTGCTTTAGGTCCTCTGCTGGTTGGGACTCCTTGGCCTCATGTTGGGCCTGCTGTTGGGTCTTCTGGTGGTTGGGCCTGCTTTGGGTTTTCTGCTGGTTGGGCATGTTTTGGGTCTTCATGTTGGGCCTGCTTTTGGTCCTGTGCGTCTACTGCTGGTTGGGCCTGCTTTAAGTCCTCTGGATGGTTGGTCCTGCTTTGGGTCCTCTGGTGGTTGGGCCTGCTTTGGGGTCTCCTGGTTGGGACTGCTTTAGGTCCTCTGGTGGTTGGGACTTCTGAGGTCCTATGCTGGTTGGGACTGCTTGAGTCCTCTGCTGGTTGGGACTGCTTTGGGTCTCATGTTGGGTCTCTGCTGGTTGGGCCTGCTTTGGGTCTTCATGTTGGGCCTGCTTTTGGGTCCTGCTGTGCGTCTTCTGCTGGTTGGGCCTGTTTTGGGTCCTTGCTGGTTGGGACTGCTTTAAGTCCTCTGATGGTTGGTCCTGCTTTGGGTCTTCATGTTGGTCCTCTGCTGGTTGGGCCTGCTTTGGGTCTTTTGCTGGTTGGGACTGCTTTAAGTCCTCTGCTGGTTGATCCTGCTTTGGGTCCTCTGCTGGTTGGGCCTGCTTTGGGTCTTCTGGGACTGCTTTAGGTCCTCTGCTGGTTGGGACTGCTTTAGGTCCTCGGTTGGGCCTGCTTTGGATTATCTGCTGGTTGGGCCTGCTTTGGGTCTTCTGGTTGGGACTGCTTTAGGTCCTCTGCTGGTTGGGACTGCTTTAGGTCCTCTGCTGGTTGGGACTGCTTTAGGTCCTTCTGCTGGTTGGGCCTGCTTTGGGATTATCTGCTGGTTGGCCTGCTTTGGGTCTTCTGGTTGGGACTGCTTTAGGTCCTCTGCTGGTTGGGACTGCTTTAGGTCCTCTGCTGGTTGGGCCTGCTTTGGATTATCTGCTGGTTGGGCCTGCTTTGGGTCTTCTGCTGGGACTGCTTTAGGTCCTCTGCTGGTTGGGACTGCTTTTAGGTCCTCTCTGCTGGTTGGGCCCGCTTTGATTATCTGCTGGTTGGGACTGCTTTAGGTCCTCTGCTGGTTGGGCCTGCTTTGGGTATTGCGGTTTGGCCTGCTTTGGGTCTCCTGGTTGGGCTTGCTTTGGGTCTCCTGGTTGGGCCTGCTTTGGGGTCTCTGGTTGGGCCTGCTTTCGGTCTTGTGATTGGGCCTGCTTTAGGTCCTCTGCTCGTTGGACCTGCTTTGGGTCTTCTGGCCTGGCCTGCCTCTTTTTGTGTAAATGCTTTTTATAGTGACTAATTAGTTTTCTTTTCCAGAATTTTGGTAGTAGTGTTATGGGAGTGGGAGGCAGTAGTGTGGTGGGGGAGGTGTGTGGGAGGTAGTAGTGTGGTGGGGAGGAGTGTGGAGAGGTAGTAGTATGGTGGGGGAGGTGTGTGTGTCGCCCCTCTGCTGCCATTAATCACATATAAGGCAATTGTTGCCATTTTTTGTTTTCGCCCTCTGCTGCCATTAATCACATATAAGGCAATTGTTGCCATTTTTGTTTTCGCCCTTGCTGCCATTAATCACTATATAAGGCAATTGTTGCCATTTTTGTTTTCGTCCCTCTGCTGCCGTTAATCGCATATAAGGCAATTGTTGCCATTTTTGTTTCGCCCCACTGCTGCCATTAATCACATATAAGGCAATTGTTGCCATTTCTTATTGCCCCTCTGCTGCCATTAATCACATATAAGGCAATTGTTGCCATTTTTTGTTTTCGCCCTCTGCTGCCATTAATCACGCCGCCCTCTGCTGCCATTAATCACATAGTAAGGCAATTGTTGCCATTTTTTGTTTTCGCCCTCTGCTGCCATTAATCGCTATAAGGCAAATTGGCCTATTTTTTGTTTTCGCCCCACTGCTGCCATATTAATCACATTACGCTGCAATTGTTGCCATTTTTGTTTTTGTCCTCTGCCACCGTTAATCGTATATAAGGCAATTATTGCCATTTTTATTGTCGCCCACTGCTGCCATTAATCATATATAAGGCAATTGTTGCCATTTTTGTTTTTCGCCCTCTGCTGTTGTTAATCACATATAACATACATTTTTGTTTTCGCCCCTCTGCTGCTATTAATCACATATATGGTAATTGTTGCCATTTTTGTTTTTGCCCCTTTGTTGTTAATCACATATAAGGTAATTGTTGCTACTTGAGCTGGGCTCCCTTGCCATTAATCATATAAGGTAATTGTTGCCATTTTGTTTTGCCCCACTACTGCCATTAATCATATATAAGGCAATTGTTGGCATTTTTGTTTTCGCCCCTCTGCTGCCATATTAATCACATATATAAGTAATTGCCATTTTTTGTTTTTCGCCCCTTTGCTGCTGTTAATCACATATAA